GAAAGCTGGTTTGTTTACGGTCTTCCAGAGAAGGATGAGATTGATAATTATATATCTTCAAAGTGAGTTCTTTTCTTAAATTTTTAATGTCCTATTCGGATGTTTTTATTTGTAGACTAAGCCACAGCTATTGAATCACATGTTTCTTTTCTACCTTGGTTGCAGGGCTAAAAGACTTAAGAGTCTCAATTCTCAAAAAAGTTTGTAGGAGTTTATGTTTAATGTTAATTGTTCTTAATAGCATAATGCTGGCAAAAACCCTCATTCCATATGGCTCTTCTTTCAGTGGAGTAATGGTATTGTATTAATGATGAGACTCTTGTAAATTTATCTACTAATAACAATATGTTGCTAACATTCTTTTTAACATGATATCATTTTTTGTTTTTTAGGTTTCGGTGGAAATCTCTATATGGTGGCCATTTTTATCAAAGTTAGAGTAGGTTCCTCCTTTGGTTTTGGATTCAAGGGACCTTCATTATTGTAATAATTGTATATAATTTTTTTGTATTTTATTTTAGTGAAATACGAAATGAAATGATTTTTTTGTAATTTAAGTACTATTTAGAGTTGTATTTTTTTTATTTAGCTAGTTAGATGTACAATGATATATTCATTATAAAGTGATCATATGTATTCTGAATATTTATAATAGTAACAATAAGAAGAATTCTAGATTTTTTTTCTTGATCAAATGTTAGCAATATACTACTTAGTGTTACTATTTTCCATAACCATATAATCCATTATTAGAAGTGTGTAGGATTATTTGTAGAAGTTGTTCATAATAAATAGTTTTATCAGGTCAATGTGTATGAGTTATTTATAAATTTCAAAGGTTTGTTGAATATCTATAATATCGTTATTAGTTTTTTTTTAATGTTTTTATACAAATTTTATGAATGTTTTTTAAACAAATGATTTTTCATTTTTCATGATTGTTCTACATATAGTCTCAAATCATTAAAAGAAATTAATATATACACTAATGTGTAAACAACTAAAATTAAAATATTTGAATTCTGCAAGAAGACAAATTTTATTTAAGAAGAGAAGCAGAGGAATAGCGAACCTCTCTCTGCAATATCAGGTGGAAGCACTGTGTCTTCGATCACAGCAGGTTTATTTTTTCAATGAATCTTGTTTTTGTTGAAAACTGTTTTTCTTTACCTCTTTTCTGAACCAATAGGATGAATATGAAAGAAAGGTAGTAGACGAAACCTCTCTGCAATTTCTAGGGTTTTTCCTATTGCCAACTGTATTCATCTTTTTCAATAGCATCTTCTTTTTTTCATTGAAAACTGCATTTTTTCTGAACCAATAAAAGAACAACCAATTTACTGCTGTGTTTCTGCGTTTATAATAAAACATTGAATGCGCAGATTGAGATTGCTTCCTTCTATAAAGTAATATTGATTCTCGCAAAATGTAAAATGGAAGAGGATTCATCAATGAGCAAAAAAGGAAACGATGAGCAAGTAAGGCAAATGTTTAACGTATCCTTTAATCTCTTAATTAGTTATGGCATGAATATATTTCTTCGTTTTGTTATTCTTCCTCCTTTTTCTTGGAGAAAATTGAAGCAGTGTCATATGACATAAAGTTTGACAGAAAAATATTTTTGATCTAATGCATGGCATTTATCACCATATTCATTTACCTTTTAGAAATCATTTACATGTATATAAGGTGGTCATTCATGCATATTCATATGAAAGCTTTTTGTTTTTTTTTTTACGTAAAACATGAAAACTGTGAAGGAATGGTTCACTTCATACGAGGTTGTATTGAGCATGTTGTTTTAAGTGTTATGCAGGATCATATTGGTTTAAGTAACTTTTCAATGCTATTTTTCTTTCTGAACTTCTTTTTTCTGTGTGTGCCAATTCTTCTTGAACAGAATAAAAATGTGTTTAATATCTTCAAATATATGAAAATTAAACACTTTCTTTAATTGCTTTACTTGGATTGCTGCAAAATGAATAGGTAAAGTATGCATGTTTTCTTTTTCTTCTAAACTTGATACATCTTTCATTTTTGATTTTGATGATTTGTCACTTTTCAAATGTTTGATTCTTCAATTATTATATTTTTTATTTTTATATTCACTTATTGATGTTCTTTCTTCAATAGAAAATACGGAGAATAACAATAGAAATTCAAATTGTAAGTTGTGATTATTGGTAAATGCACTAACAGATACCTATTTCTTCTTTAATATAATATGTTCTTATTATAAAATGGGTTCGCTGTCATCTTTTAATTATATAAAGACCTCATTAGTTGCATATCCTTTGTAAAAGGAAATTAATTAATGATTTTTATTTGGGAGTGCAGGCTTAATTTGACTTTATTTGAATGCACATGTTTTCATTGTTGCTCTTGTTGTGGATCAATGATATATGCCTTATACATTATATAATTAAATCAATGGAGAATAGTGTATTGTGTCAGTAAGTGTGAGCATGCTCTTTTAAACAAAATTATGGCATCATCTGATTGCATGATTACATGTGCCAGAGTATAATACCTAAAAGAGTCAATGAGATACAAATACATAACAAAAACGTAAATTAATTATAGTATTTTCTTTTCTACTATCTCTAACTCATAAATTAAGTAATATAAAAATAAATAGTAATATAATAATGAGACATAATCAATAACATTATTTATTGGTTACCTTAACCATATATGGTAACATTACTTTTTAACGGTAGAAATACAAGAAGACACTTAATACATTTAATGTTCAAAGTCATTTATCTAAATTAGGTAGAGAAATGGTGTATTTAAAATGACTATGTTTAGGAATGGACAATTTTTTAAGTACATGCTCTTCTTACAAAGATAAGACCAAAATTTGATGAAGTGTGTGATAAAAACTACTTACTCTTCAACTTGAGCAGTGTATGTTTTAAATTCAATTCTCATTTTTGAAAGAAAAACATATTTTAAATAAATAATTTAGAGTTAAATTAGTTACTTTAAACCTTCAATATTAAGTCTATCCATAGTTTTTAAAAAAGAAAATATATATTATTAGTTTTGTAATTTTTTTACTCACTATTTGTCTAACCATGATAGGCTTAAGATTAAATTTAGTAAGTGTTATATTACTAAATATTGTTCTCAATGTGACTAACATTTGGACGTGGGACGAGGTGAATAAATATTCTCATATATGATTATGTGTAATTTGATCTCATGAATAATCAGTTAAGTACTTTTCTTTTATGGTTTTTATTCATTTGTTTTATATTTTTAGAAATTAAACGAAGCATAAAAGTAACATTTTTATTAGGTTAAACAAAAATAAACGAGTTAGTTTTCTATTACAGTTTGCTACTATATAATTGCTGTAAATCATACTGTTTGAGGTTAATAAAAATTTGTTCTGAAAGTATTACAGTACCTGAGTGTCTTCTGTGGATGTGCCGGTCTGAACCTTGTGTGTGTGTGATTTCCTCCGGTGAGCGGTGAGTGTGGTGATCTGAGGAAGACGTTGGAGAAACCCTAGCAGAGTTCTAGCTCTGATCTCTCTCTAGAAACATCACTCTCTGTTACTTCTCTCTCTTTCACGTGCATGTTTAGTTTCTTTAATATCTGAAGATATTAATTGGGCGTGTAGTTACTTTTCTACCCCTCCTTTTTCTAATATGGTATCAGAGCTTCGGCTGTTGTCCTGGTGTTGTGTTGATATCTGGAGGTGTGTATCCAGAAGTGCAAAAAGAAGGGCTCTTTGACTGTGTGTAGTTCAAAGATTCAGAAAGATTGTTGCAAGAAAGGATGGCTGGAATTGGAGGAATTCAGGGATCACTACCCATGTTTGATGGCAAGTATTTTGCAGATTGGTGGATCAAGATGTGGGTTGTGTTTGGCTTTCAGGATGTGTTGGAAATCATTGAAGATGGAGTGCCTGTGTTGAGTGAAAAGGCAACCCAAGAACAGAAGAAAGAACACAAGATGCTGGAGAAACTGGACAACAAGGCCAGGTTCTTGATGTATCAATGTGTAAGTCAGAAAATTTTCAACAAAATCTCTAATGCAGCCACTGCAAAGGAGATTTGGGGTATGTTAATGAAAACATACGATGATGGAGACAGAAATGCAAAGGTGAAACTGCAAGCTTTAAGGAGGAAGTTTGAAACTCTGATCATGGAGGAGAGTGAAACCATGGCTGAGTATTTTGATAAAGTGCAGGAGTTAGTGAATAAAATGAGAGCTTGTGGTGAAAAGGTAACAAATGAGTACATTGTAGATAAAGTTCTGAGAACCTTAACTCCCAGATTTGACTATGTGGTTACTGCCATTGAAGAAACCCGGAGAAGAGAGGATATTGACAGTGAGGAGTTGTTGCATTCATTAGAGGCCCATGAGTTACGCCTCAACGAACGCAGACAGTGTCAGGAACAGGCTCTACAGGCCAGATTTCAGTGGAAAGGAAAAAAGGGCTTCAAGAAAGGAAGTAAAGGAGGCAAGAGAGGGAAAGACTCTCAAGACCAGCAAGGAGAAGAGTCTAGTGAGTCTGCAAAAGATAAAAAATCAAAGAAAATTGATGGAGAGTGGAAATTTGACAAGAAAAAGGTCAAGTGTTTTAACTGCCAGAAGTATGGCCATTATGCCAAAGAATGCTAGGATGGAGAAGGGGCTAAGAATAAACTCAAGAAGAGGGCTAACCTTGCCCAAGAAGAAGAATCAGATTCAGAGGCAATGATTTTAATGGCGCATGTTGATGAAAAACAACCAGAAAGCACTGTTTGGTACCTTGATTCTGGGTGCTCCACTCACATGACCGGGAGAAAGGATTGGTTTGTGAAAATTCAAGGAGTAGAGCATGGAAAGATCAGATTTGCTGACAATAGTAGTTTAGAGGCAGAGGGTTCTGGCAGAGTGGTTTTGAGAGGTGTAGATGGCAGAGAAGTTGTAATAGAAGAGGTAATGTATGTACCTGGATTGAAGACTAACTTACTAAGTCTTGGACAACTGTTACAGAAGAAATACATGATGAAGATGGAAGACAATTGTCTCAGCATCTTCAATCAGAATGGGAAGGTTGTTGTGCAGACACAACTGTCACAGAATAGAACATTCAAAGTGGTGATGGAGGCAGTAAATCATCATTGTTTTACTGCAACAAAAAGTGAAGAAGAATGGCTGTGGCATCTCAGATTTGGTCATCTGAATTTTCAGGATCTGTCAATGTTGAGCCAGAAGAAAATGGTGACTGGTTTACCAAAGGTAGATATTCCAGGGACTGTTTGCAAAGAATGTGTTCAATGCAAGCAAACCCGTGGTAGTTTTCAGAGGTATTTACCACACAAAT